GGATAACCACCATTGATATCAAGGTAAGGAAATTTAAAGAAAACAGAAGAGAATAATTTTAAATTCAAAAATTTGACAAGGCAGGGTAACTTTTTTTGACTAAAAAGAATCCTTTTTCTCAGAAAATATTTAAAGGTAAGTGGCAGTTGCTTATATCTTTGTCTTATTCTTTTTAATAAGTTCATTATTGCTTTTCACAAATAAACTTTAGAAATGAAATATTCCTCATTATTATATAAGAAATGTGCCTTCCTGTCTCAATGTTGGATTTGGCTGAGGCTGCTGTCTTAGGACAAATAGTTCTAAACAAAGAGCAATATACTTGGTAATGCACATGTCAGATATAATAGATAGAAAGAAGAATATTGCAAGAGGTAACCTTTATTATTCTGAACTGCAGGAAGATAACTAAGTCAGAATAGTTTAACGGAGAGTTGAACTGTAGTAAAGCTGTCAAAATAGGAAATTCTGTTCTTCATTTTATTATTCAAAATATATTTTTAAATTCACTTGATGTCTATAGCCCAGGTGCTTTAGGATTTTTGTTACAAAATATTAAGATAAATAACAGAGAGAAACTAGCATTTTTCTAACTCTAAAAAGTCTTATCACTTAGAAAGCAAATGAACAGTCAAATTTACTTGACTATAAGAGGTACAAAATAGAATTATCAAATTTGGGAAATAAGAAAGGAAGCAACCCATTTGTCTAACTACAATTAAAGTTTTTCAAAATTTCTATTTTAATCAATGAGTATATAAATATACATACATATATTACTCTATTATATATATGCCATATATGTCTATTTACATACCACATATGTACATGTATATCTATTTAAATGTAATGTTTGTATAAATAGATCATATATGTGTGTATAAATACATATATATATAAGTACTATACATCTATAAAAGGAATAATCAAAATTTATTCTGAATGTTTACATTAAAAAATTATAGTCAAAGACATTTCCATTAATGCCCCTGGCTTTGAACACACCGAAGCAGTTTTGGAAGTCATCTTTTGTGTCTTTATACACTTTGATCAAAAGGTACAATGACTGCTGCTGCTACTTGCCATCCGATGGAAAGACAGACTTTGCTCTTGATATTAAATCAGTATTTTTAGCTATAAAATGTGTGAATACAAATTGATGTAGAAAAGGTTCTGTGTTATAGAGTTACATAGTATGTTCCTGGCATTATCTTCTGTAGAATTTTTAAGACAGTATGTTTTCCCTGCTTCAAAAGAATTATATTCTGTTTTTATAATTTTACTACAACTATACCTCAAGAGATTGTAAGGAGAAGAGAAAGAATGTGTGGTAATAGCTCTCTATAAAAGGTGAACCCATTTATCTTCCAAGTCTTAATGAGCTAGTTTCAGAAAGGCCTTTGAACTTGTTTGTGGCAAGTGGAAACATTAACAAGTAGGTTTTGAGAAGAGCCTTTGAACTACTGGCAAGTGGAAACATCAGTCCCAACAAATCATTGGAAAATCTCAGGTCAAAAGTGCAGTAGCAGAGAAGTATTTCCATCCACGCTTCAGAAACAGCAATAGATCTGAATGAGCCATCATGTTTTTGCATATTTTAATCAATTTTCAAGGAGTCTTCAGGAATGGATAAAATTAATCTCAGTATTGTCCATGGAAGTTGTTGTTTTTCCAAACTGCAGTTTACATCCCGTTACTAATTATGAAAGCAATTTAGGAGATCTCAACCAGCATTTTAAAATAATGAAATACAATAAAATGGATAGAAAAATATTGGTGGTAAATTCAGCATGAAGCATAAGTATTTTGTTAAACTTCTGCTTCACGTGTATGGTTTTGTTTGTTCTCACTGTACAAGTACTTTCAGCCAATGAAGAAAGTGACAAAGCACTAGTATCATGATAGCTATGGACAGAGATGAGGAGACAAAGGGCTTTGGATCTAAGGTTCAAACTGGAGAATCCACAGAATTATATTGTTTAGCTCATTTTTTCCAAAGCAGGAAAATACATGAGGGAAAGGATGATGAAATGAACTTGTTAGCTTATGTCATTGGCCTTCGACAGACAAATTCTAGTCGCTACTAAAGAATTTCTTCTATTTCTGACTTTAGCACTAAACTCACATTTACTGCTTAAAAAGTTCAGTGGTGGTTTTAAGAATAAGAAGAGGGTATATGTACATATAAAACTTCTACAAGAGATTCATTACTTTGATAGACATAAAGGATTGCATCGTCTTGCATATTAAATATTACTTAAACCTCCAAGAGGATTCCACAAAACTTATCAACACTTGCTTTGCCCTAATTACATCATGCAATGAAAGAATCACTTGCCATTAATGTTAGCAAATCATTTCAAACTACTGCACTTGAGTGGAGGAAAGCATGAAATATCAGCATAAAGAAAACCAATTAAAGATAACTCTGCAGCCAGCTCATTTAGTTCACATGAGCTCAATTGCCAGCCTCTCCGAAGGAAGTGGATGTGGGCTGGCTGATGACAACTATACATTCCTTGCTGTCCAGCATTTTATAAAATATCATAAAATATGCATGTTAGTTTATATGCATATTTTGCATATATTTATATGTGGCAATTTTAATTTTGGATCAAACATGATCCAAAATCCTCAGAAGAAAACATTTCTATTCTAGAGTAAATGTCCCAAAAATTTCTCACGAGAATGTATTGCCGACATGGTAGTCAGTAGCCACACGTGACTTGTGAGTTCTTAAAATGTGACCCAGGTAACTAAGAAAATACATTTTTAATTTATTTAAATACATATGGCTAGTCTAACATATTGCAGAGCATAGTTCTGGAATCTTTAACTTTAGTGCTAATTTAAAACAAGTGAAAAATCCTTCTTTCTATTAATGTCCCACAAATAAAATGGCTCATTCATGATAAGGTGACCTTGGCCTCCATCCTGCCTTTTATTATTTTCTCGTCTTCTCCCTTATGTGTCTTGATGTCCTACATCTAGTGGCTACTCAATACATGTGAGCCATTATTGTTGCTGTGTAATTTCTACATCCTACCTCCATTTCTCCCAAATTAATCCTTAAAATATATGTTCATCTGAAGCTTTGGAAGATCTGTTGTTATGAATTCAAACATGTAAATTATTATTTTAGATAATGTTTGTCAAACCACAGATTGAAACCTATAGTTTGTCATAAAAATCAATTTAGAAGCATATGTTTAGATATATGAATTTGGTTTTTGTCACCAAGGTTTACAATTAAAGTTTATCTTATATTTCTAAATTATCATATAATAGATGGTAGATGGATAAATTTTTCAGTTTACTTGGCAAGCCCTTGAACCTCTTTGGGCCCAAGTGTATCTATTCATTAAATGAGATTACTAGACCAGGTGACACAAGTGTAATGTAACAGGAACCCGATGATCACTTAATAAATGCAGTAGGCTGAGAGTAACACCATAAGTTTTTGTATGATTTGAATGTGTGTGTCATTCCAAAACACCTATGTTAAAACTTATTAAACACCTATGTTAAAAATTATTAAAATATTGACAGTATTAAATAGTTGGGCCTTTGGGAAGTAATGAGAGCTCTGCCCTGATGAGTGGGTTACTACATTCATAGAATAGGCTTCAGAGAGATTTCAGCCACTTTTGTTCTTTTCCTCTCTTCTCTTAGGTGAGGACATAGTGTCAATTTCTTTCAGAGGAGCAGGGTCCAGGGTACCATCTTGGAAGGACAGACCAGCCCCTCACCAGACACTGAATCTGGGAACAATTTAATCTTAGACTTCCCAGTCTCCAGAATGCTAAGAAATAAATTTATGTCATCTATAAATTACCCAGTCTTAGTTATTTTGCAAAGCAGAATAAATGAGAAAAAGACAAATATGGAGGAGACTGTCAAAATGAAAAATTTATGTCCCACCTTAAAAAAATCATGCTACTTGATTCTATTTTGGCCACATGTAAAGTTATAACCTATATTCCTAAATGGTTTAGTTTCTCAAAATAGGCAAGTTTAGATGATATGAGTGATGAAACTAAATCTATTTTATAAGTAATGTGAGTAGAGTAAGTTTTGAGGTATGAAAAGATTATATTTCAAAAAAACTGTTAAACCTGGGCCTAGGTGTCACTAGTTTACAACTTCTAGATAATTTGATGTGTAAGCTTCTTTATATCTTTACCACTCAGGCTATTCTAATACCTCTTCTTGTGTCGTTCTTGTGTATTTGTATGTAAGGAAGAAGTATGTGTTGAAGAGACACCTTATGGGAAAAGATAGCTAACACAGGAGTGGCTCCACCACCTTTTCAGGCCAAGGCAGCAAGTGTTTAGAGAAGCTAGGTGTCAGAGATGTTAAAAAATAGATAAATAGATAAAACAAAAGGACTGAAGTAAAAAGCAAATAACAATTTAAAAAGACAAAAATTACATAAAGGGATAAAAAGGCAGAGTGAACAAGTATAAAACACAAATAAAAATACTCTAATTGTGAACAGCCATTAATGTTTCAAAAGTATTTGCATATCCCAACACTCATTCTTTTGAAAATAGTGAAATGTATGTTAATTTACATTTGTCTAGAGATAGATCATATTCTAAATTATGAGTAGTAATTATAAACCAGAGTTTTAATGAAATTTTAAGAAGGTAAGGATAAAAATTAGCTAAGATGGGGTTGAACCATCCTTTACCTTAGACTTCACATCACTGCTCTGTGTACATGTGGTAATCACATTTGGAAGGTAATAAATCAACACTGTTGAAATCTAATTAAAATCAGAAACTGGAATACAGGATTAAAGCCAAATTTAGAATTAAAGGAGTCTATCTTCATTTTAGTTATAGAGTGTTTAGTCCCTTTCATTGCAATCCTAACCCAAAAATTTATTAAAACTATGTGATTTACAAAACCGATAAAAATTTAGTCATTAATTTAAATACTCTTTAGTACTGGAAAAAGACTCTATTCAGTAGTGGGTAGAGTTATGGAGAATTTACCTTCTGCCCAATACCTGTATGATTCATGTTTCATAATGACTTCTTCATTTGATTGAAATTTAAGTTAAATAAATCTTGAAACTTGTTTTATATCCTTTTCTCAGCTATGCTGCATCTCTGTAAACAGAAATGGACTTTTTCAATCTTTGGAATGTTCTAAAAATGAAACTTTAATTATTTTCCCACAGCTCTATAAAAAATTAGAGAGAAGAGAGAATTTCATATTTACAGAAAGAAAAAAGGGTCAGTCTCAAATGCAGAAAATTCTTGTCTAATATTCTAAGATTTAAACTGTTAGAAACAGCAAAAAAAAACTGGCTCAAATGATCTTTGGCTATTTCATTCAGCTCAATTAAGTGTTTAATCATCAAAAATGTTCCTTTATGATGTATTAGATAAAACTATATGGGCAAAAGCGTAACCTTTACCCTGGCCAAAATTTTCGTTTTCATCTCAGTGGTTCAAGCTAATAGACATGCCAAAGAAAATGGAAGAAAACGGGTGTCAGCAATGACGGGAGAGGCACCTGCGGACCAGACTGAGTTGCCATCACAGGCTTGATCTAGAAGGAGACATAGGGTCACTGCACAGAGCCCCAATGGCACGTTTCCTTAGAATCGTCTGGGGGCAGAAGTGCAGCCACATAGACACATTTGCATAAGGCTGATGGACCTAGAAATGATCCTCATGTTCTGGTCTCCCTGTCCTATGCTCTGTATAGATCGTATGAAGGACATGTATAAATCACATTTACATAATGGTTCTCTTGGTCCCATTTTGTATTTGAAACCTTCAAATGATAATATCAAACTGATTCACAGACTTGGTGATTTGGAACAATACATCTCAGGAATACTAGTCACATTTTTTCAAAGGGGGAGAAATATTTTAAAAGTGCACCACATGATGATTGTAACATAATAAATCACAGTCTTAATAAATCATAAAAGAGCATATTTAAAGAGTTTTCACTACAAGCCAGGTGTGGTGGTGCACACCTATAATCCCAGCACTTGGGAGGCTGAGGCAGGAGGATCACTGTGAGTTCGAGACCAGCCTGGGCTACATAGTGAGTTCCAGGTCAGTCTCAACTACATAGTAAGACCCTGTCTCAAAAAACCAAAAAGAAAAAAAAAGAGTTTTCACTACAGAAAAATGATAATTGTGTGAGGTAATATGTAAGCAAATCAGTTAGATGTAGTTGGCAAATTTTGTTAAGAGACATAAAAAATAAAGTGGAAATAGTCCTGTCTTTCCTGTGAATAGGTGCATGTCCCTACACTGGGTGCTGGGGACAGTAAGATTCAAGACCTTGCCCCTGCAGGGAGCTAACTTTTTAGAGGAAAGAATCACCATGTGCCATGGAATGCATAGTGTTGTGGTTAAAAAGACATAACATCAATTTAAGTATCACTGAAAATGAAAAAGGGCTGCCAATTAAAAAATGTGACAATACCTCAGCAAAAGGCACTTTCCACAGAAGAATGGATCTTCTGACCTCATTCTGTTTCTGAATTTCATTTCTTACATTCGCATATATGGCCATTTGGCTATCTTCACTTGCACTTTTTAGCATGTAAGGTATCCTCATCCAAAAATCATTATAACAAAAATAAAACGTTTCATCCAATTGCAAGCATGTTTCATTCTTATTTATTTATGTAATTGATTGTGGTACTAGGATTGAATCCAGGGCCTTTACACTGAAGTACATTCCCAGATCCCTTTTTTATTTTATAGTTTGAGACAGGGTCTCAATAAGCCGCCAAGGCTGGGCTCAAACTTATAATTTCTGCCTCAGCCTTCCAGAGTGTTGGGACTTCAAATGTGTGCCACTATTCCTTGGCTTTTTAAAAACTTTCTTCCTTTTCTCCATAAAGTAATGTTTTTCAAATGTTAAAAGGCATATGAAATTGGGGTCCTATTGAAAACAAAGTATGCTACTCAGTATTTCTGGGGTAGGGGCTGAGATTTTGTATTTTTAACAAGTGCTTGGGTTAAGGTGATGCTGCTTGTTTGTGGGTCATATTTTGAAAGAGTGAGTAACACAAAACAGTTGATGATTATTTGCAAAAAAATACAGACGGGAGTATTTCTCATATGTTAAGTAATGCTTCACTGAAATGAAATGATATTCCACTGCTCTTCATAAGCTTTTGTGTTTTAATGATTATCATGGGCCTCCTAAGCTGGATGAACAATCATTATAGAATATGATTGATTTGAATAAGTACCAATGATATGAAAATGTTTGTGTTATAACTGATGAAACACAGAATCCAATAAATCAATCCTTGAATTGTCCTAATAACCAAGTGTGTGCTAAGGCAGATTATCAGATAATCACAAGAGACTAAGACCATCCATCTGAACTGCACTCTTACTACGAAAGCATATAGAAGGGACAGCTAACCCAGTCTCAGGCATGGGGGACTAGAAATAAGGGATGAAGAAAAGTGACTTGCCTGCAAAAATATCCACAATAAGTGTTATTTACATATGACCCCAAAGTTAGCAATGTTAGAAATCTTAAACCCAGGACAATGTTTTTCTCCTACCTGTCATTAATAGTTGGCCTAAATCAAATCTGGCAGGATATTTTTCAACAGTTGTTCTCATTTGATGACATAGTGCAGGGTTCCACCTAATAAATCACCATGACCAAGGAAACTAGGACAAACTGGAACTGAATTTTGTGAAAACTACACACAGGGTTTAACTGTCTTCCTAGAATAAAAGTCTGACAAGACAAAATATGCAATCAGTGATCATAGTAAATGAAAGTTTTATTTGTTTTCTTTTGATTTGCTTTTTGTGAGTTTTGTTTTGTTGTTCTGCTTAGTGGCCTCCAGAAATACCTCAAACTCTCCATTCCAACGTTTTCAAAGAAGCTGAATTTCTATTTTCTATTTGAGATCTGCCTAAAAGTAATAAATAAAAAACTAAGGAATGGGTAGAATTGCATACAAAATTGGGACTTTTAAAAATAATATACATCCTTGTCTTTGAACTTATAAATTTAAAAAATATATTCACAAAATTAAATTTCTACTTTTAAAATAAAATTTCCTCTGTGTCTACAAGTTATAAATGCATGTATATATGTTCTAAAGTAACTATTATTCTAGACTATCACATTACATTTTTAGTTATCTTACACATTTTTAGTGTAAATCATTGAGTACCACTTTGTAAAACTTACCTTAATTCAAATTTTCCTATGAAACGGTGTTTCATAAATATTTCCACTCTTTGAAATGTTGACAGGTTAAAATTGCACTTAGTGTATTGACAGTCAAGATGCTTTTAAAGAGGTAAATCACTAGAAATCTGAAAAAGAAAACAAGGTTAGTGTTGCCAATTTATTTTTGTTTTATATAAAAAGACTGTCCAAATTTGAGATTAATGTATACTGCAAAAGAGAGTAAAGCAATACTTAAAACATGATCATTACATGTCAGCTTACTCATGTTCACGAAGAGCGAATGCCATAACCATATATGTTGCCTTAACAAAAGAGAGGAATAGTGAATAATGTATTTACCACTGTCACTTTCTGGTAGGAGGCGTCATCTACCTGCTTTCCCTCTCCAAGTAAGGATTACTCATTTCCTCTGACATCTTCAGCTGTTGTTCTAAACTTTAGCTGACATAATCTGTTACTCCAGTAACTTCTCAAGCTGTATCCAAAGACTACTGGTCAAAAGGATTCAGCAGTTCAGCACCAACCTTATTTTGCCAGGGGTGCTGTTCTCTAAATCTTCCAATCCTCCCATTTAGAAAGCATCATATGTGAGGTTGCCGACCAGCAATCCATTAAAGTATATTAAGCAATCATTCATCTCTCTTAATGGTCCAGCTATAAATATTTGCTTCCTGCTGAGATTATAAAGTGTTCTAGCTGTAAAAATTGTAAATTATTTTTGGATAGAAACTTTCTTTGGTTATGTGTCCTATCATTTATTACAAGTGAAATGAGGCAGTCTGTAGAGAAGCAGTCTAGAAAACAGGATATTTTAAAAATATAGAAAAGCCAAAAAGGCTATTTAAACTGACAGAAGCCTTTGTCAGATTTGAATTTTGAAAATAATCTCATATGTTTCCTTCAAATGCACTACTGGATAGTAGTTGAACACAATTTTTAGTAGTTTTGCTACCTGCAGCAAAATGTAATGATGGCAATATTTTTTCAGCAAGGTAATGATGACAATATTTTTTTCTTACTGTTTTACTAAATTTTCTCTTTGTTCTTTTGTATTAGTAATTGAAATTGAGGTGGCAATAACTCTGAGTTTAAAGCATAACAATTTTTTAAATAAAAACAATATCTTCATGACAGTAAAAGACAATGAAATTGTTAGGATCAAATTTGAAAATAATTGGAGTGGGTCATTTCCAGTGCATTTTTGTCCACTTGTCTTGTATTTTATCTTGGCCTAAACTTACATTTTGGCTAATGAACTTTGTCCATGAATAGCATTAGAATCTAACCTCTTGGGTTATCTATGCAGATTGCCATTTAACACATCAGATCTTATTTCATGTTACATTTTAAATTCCCATGTATGTGTCAGGATTTATGGTTTAATAGGGACACAAAGAACAAATATAACTTTCCTACACAAGTTTAGCCTACTGGGTAGATAAATTCACAATTAATGTCACCAATATAATACCCTAACAATAATTTACAGGGTTCCATGGGGCTGCAGACAGAAGTCTGAATTCATTGTCATCAAAGGCTTGAGCGATAGGCCACTAGAAGGATGGAAGGAATCTCATAATAGAGAAACATGGACATCTCAGAACAGAGAAATAAGCATGTGTAAGGCTTCTAAGTAGCTAGATTGAATTTATTCAAAACACTAACAGTTTTGCCTGCGTGTCTATGGTGCCTAGCAATTAGAGAGGTGGTAGAAAGAGTACACACTGAAAAATGAACCTGTAGAAAAGGAGATTCAAGATGATGGAGGACTTTAGTTGCATATAGGGACACATTGTTCAAAGAATTGAATTTTGGTTTATTTAGCACAAGTCCTATTTGTTCTAATAAAGTATCTCATAAAAAACTGTATCTTAGGCCAGGGATTTAGCTCAGTGGTGCCTCTGCCTGCCTTGCAAGTGGAAGGTTCCAAGTTTGATCTCTGGTACCCAAAACAAAACAAGCAAACAAACAAACAAAACTATGTTTTGTACACATTTTAGGAGCCTATACAAATTTATATTAGGTTATTCCCTTATCCTTATAAACACTAAGGATATAACATTCCAACCTACATGGCCCAGGGGAGTCTAATGCTTTCCCTTTCCTGCCAAAAGTAAAACTGCCCATAATAGAGTGGGCAAACAACAGTAATGTCTGGGAAGGGGTATTAAGAACAGGAAGCACAGACAAGAGATGATCACAGAAGAGATAACCTATTCACATTTTTAAATTGTAAAGCCCAAAACAAAAAACTTAAATTTTTTCTGTAGCTCAAAAGTAGATTCTCCAACATTGGAAAGATCTCAGTGCTGAAAGAAGTGGACAAAGAAAGAAAACAAGAGATGGATAAGTAAATCTTCAGTCAGTGATTAAGATAAAAAGAATGAGCAAGGATTTTAAAACCAAGGCAAAACCTTTGCTCAGAAATAAGGGATAGCAGGAGCTCCAGTGGCGCAATCGGTTAGCGCGCGGTACTTATACAGAAATAAGGGATAGTATATTAGAGAAGACATGAAGATAAAGAAACCCTGTGTACTGTTGGTGGGAATGTACATTCGTGTAGCTATTAAGGAAAACATCACAGAGATTCCTCAAAATATGAAAATGGAACTGCCGTATGATCCATTAATTCCAATTGTAGGTACATATCCAAAGGAAACAAAATTGGTATCTTGCAGAGAAAACTTTACCCTTCAATTCATTTCAGCATCATTCACAGTAGCCAAGACACAATATAGCAACTGTCAGTGCATGGATAAATGGATAAAAATTTATAGACCTATACAGGTATACATCTATATTAAAATTTATACTTTATTTCTATTTCCACCTCTTTCCAATTTCCTACCCACTCCAGCTTCTTGTCATCTTTGTAAATCCTACAACACAATAGGACAATATGGTCAAACAGTAAAATAAATGCATAGTTGCTAAAGACACTACATGAATGTGATTCTCAAGGATGGGACTCTTACTTGTATTTTCTTAAGAAAAAAATAATTAACCACTCTACAACTCTATTTCTCTATGTATTAAAATAGTGATAATAATATTGGCTTCATGAGACTGACCCAAATATTCAGTGACTACCAAGTGATCACAGAAAAGACTGCTGGAGTTGCAATAACATCTTGCAACTCACTATGAAGCATAGGTCAAGAGCATCACAGCAACCTTCTTCCTGACATTCTGGGATACTAGGCCCTCCCTGAATTCCCACCCTATGAACACAATGCTCAATGAGTGACAGAAAACAGCAAAGCAAAACTGAATGCTATCTTGTTTTGAAGTGATTTATTCAGATTTTCTATTGTATGCATTTAAATTTAAACTCAAAACAAAGAAATGTCTATGCAAAGTCAATTCCATCTCAAATACAACTGCTTTATAATATTTTCTAACTTGTTCTTAAGTTGGAAAGAAGTTATCTCTTCTTTCTAATTCTCATGTTAGACATCATACATTTATGCTAATTTGTAATTTAAACATTAGTACTCTTTGTGGGATTTAAAACTGATTTCTGCAGAAGGACTATGAACAATGGAACAACAGAACATGTCCTATTCTGTGAGGTCAATACTTCACAGTACTGACACTGAGAGAAATTTATTGAATACCTGGCTGTGATAAAAAAAAAAAGAATATTTTTAAAGTAAGACATTTTATTCAATAAAAGATTTTCTTATCTAAAAAATAGGCAAATTCAATTCACTTTAGTGTAATTAAATAATAAAGACAACTAAGAGTTTTAACTTAGTGGGCTATTGTTTCTGATGGTATTTTTTTAAATGCATGGTCATTTAGTTATTTGCATGCTAATAAGTAATTGCTGAATCTGCTTTCTCTTTCCAAACTTAGAATATGCTATATCACTTTATTTCTTACTTTCATCAAATGGATGAATAAATGGACCTTTTGAATAGGTAGATTGATTGTTTTCTTTGTCCATAAGCATTTTATTAAGCTGGCTTTGAAAAATTGAAAAGATGGTCATAAGTGCATTTATGTCTTATATTTTATTTTTATTTAATTGGCTTCACAGGACTTCTGTTATTAAAGAGTTGGGAACTTTAGCCAATAGGATGACAGAATTCTCAAATATCCCCCAGTGCAGATGTCCTATTTCTCAGAGGCCATGACAATGTATCCTTTTATGAACAGGATGAATTATTTTCCTTTAAGTAACAGTGGTAGGTAAAAATAGCATAAGAAAGCTTTAAGGTATCACAAGAAATCATCAGATCCATGCTCCAACAGGCTTTCAGATGAATGTTTAAAGCTTTTGAACGCTACAAAATTATAATTTACTATTCAGGCATTGCTTGAACCTTGGAGGAAAAAAAGAAAGTAATGTGTTGGAAGGTGGCCAGGGATCATCAATTAAATCTTTCAGAAGGAGAAAATTCCTGGAACTCTACATGTGGGAGATATAAGTGACACCTGAAAATGAATTCCCCCACTCACATCCATGTACATGGTCACATTTACTTGTAAGGGAGCTTGGGAAATAGAGTCCTGTGTCTCCTGTATGAAATGAAGAGAGACATATCTAGATTCTGTCACAGGTATTCTGCTTTTGCATGGCACTAAAGCAAGCATTCATTAATACAATAAATGTCTATATATTCTCTATCCTTTATTGTTTACAGCCTAGTTGGGGAAGAAACATGTTAATTAAATATTTACAAACAATATGTAATTGTCACCTGCAGTGAATGCATGAAGAAAAATTAAAGAGCACTTGAAGAATTTATAACAGGTATCTGAGAGTAAAAGCTTAGGTGAAGCATTTCTGAAGGAGAGGTGTTTTAGCGTCATCTGAGGATGAATTCATCAGAACGATCATGTCCTACCATTTGTTATGAAATAGTCTTTCTTTCGCATAAAATACCTTTTCAGGTTTGTAATAAGGACACGAAAATGACGATCCTGGAGCTAGGAATTTGTCAGACTCTAGAGTGCTCAGAGTTTTCAAGACAGAGGAGAACTGAGTAGCAAAAATTTCTGGAGACCTAGAGAGGGGTCCTCCTTGATATTAAACTACAAATCAATCAAAGCATGCATCTGAGTAAACTACTTGAGGACAGGAAAACAAT